TCTCTCTCTCTCTCTCTCTCTCTCTCTCTCTCTCTCTCTCTCTCTCTTTAATAACTTTGAAGTGGAGTAAGTTTCTGGAAAAGGCAGAGCTGGAAGAGCTAAAGTCAGAGTCTAGGCTTTGAACTACCACGGGAGGCCTCTGGCTCCTCCGCTGGCTAGGAGGCACTTGGTCCACGGGGCTATCTCAAGCAAGGAACAGGGTAGTGGGCTGGGGAGAGTCATTTGACATCTTTGGACCCTGGCTTGCTTGTGTGTAAATGGCTGAAGTGATAGTTCTGCCAGATAGTGTACTTGGAGTGACTTAGGCCACTGAACTCAACCCCAGTGCTTTTGTCTCTAGCGTTTCTTAAACCCTTGCTTCCACAGTCAGCGTGAGCCAAACACTCATCCAGCCGATTTCCTCATCACCTATCATGTTAGATCCTGAGGATACCAGGGAGAAAAGACCCAGTTCTGCCCACACTGAACCAGCGTCCCTTCTCAGGCCTCGCTTCACTTGTCTTTTCCAAGTGCACCAGCTGGTACCTCAAGTAGATTACATAAAAATGGACATGGTAGCCATCTTTGCCTTCTTTAGAATAGTATGTTGTTTTTAACTGTGTGTTTACATATGTAGCCATGTGTGGATTTGTGTACCGTGAGCATGCAGGTGTCTGCAGAGGTCAGAAGAGGGCGTTGGAGCTAGAGGCGCAGCTGGCTGTGAGCCACCCAGCGTAGATGCTGAGCACTGAACTCTGGTCCTCTGTAAGAATGACCTTGCTTTTGACCTTGGCAGGAGGACCTTGGATGCTGGTATAGAATTTAGATGTATGTATTCGTTCTGCTCAGAAGGTATCCATTCCTGTTTCCCTGGGAGTTTTACTAGGAACAGGACTTGATGGGCATAAAATGTCTTTTGAGTATCTATGACAAGATATAATCTTATTCTTAGACCTGTTGGCTGATATAGTAGAGGCCATCTGAGCATAAGTATCTGAGTCTGTACTGTCAGTAAGCTCATCTTTCCCAGTGTAAACACTACTTGGCCACTATGTACATTTTCTTGTGGTGATGCTATCTGTTTGATTGTATACTAAGGCCCTTTCCAGCAATATTCCCGAGTGATACTTACTGTGGTATTCTCATGTGTGCAGTGGCCTTAGGTTTCTCTTCTTTCTATGCCAAGGAACTTATGGGAGTCGGTTCTCTCCTTCCATCACGTGGGTGCCGGGTGCTGAACTCAGGTGGTCAGGTTTGGTGGCAAGTCCCTTCACCGGAAGAGTCAGCTCTATTTATGCTGTTTCTACAGGAGTCAGTTTGGGTAAATTGTAGCTAAGTAATGATTCCCTTCATCCAACCCTGTTTTTATATTTATTTGCCTGGAGATGTTTCAAGATCAACTCTCACCTCTCTGCTGGTGGATGAGAAGTCCAAGTTTATCCTGTATAGAGGGGAGAGGTAGGACACAAGGGTCCTGGCGGCTGCTGAGCCCACCCTGCAGGAGAGATGTGCGACGGGTGGTGGCCCCTCCCCTTCCATTAAAGTTCTTTTGGGCATGCTCAGGGTTCAGTGGACTCTTCCTCCTTCCAACTTGGAATTCTCTGGTCACCCCTAGAAGGATCATATTACCTGGATGCTGTGTTGGGAACAGATAGGTGGCAGTGCTCACTACCAGTTTGCCTCAGTGGGTCTGACCTTTCTGAGGTCAAACAAATGTCTCCTACCCCCACCCCTGGCATTTCTAGCTGAAGTCTGTTTCTGTCATCTTTACACTGCTGGGCTCACACTGTTTGAAAAGCTGATGAAAGTCACAGACACCACACATCTCCACACACACACACACACACACACATGCATGTGCACACATACACACACACACACACACACACACACGCATGCATGAACTGACTGCATGAATACACATATGTCATGAGCACAGAGTATATATGCACACACATACCGTCCACCTGTGGCCCCCAGGGCTCGGCTTCTCCTACCTCCCACTGCCTTGGGCTTTTCCCACCATTTCTCCAGGGAGTCATGGACCAGTAGTCCCTGATGTCATCTGCCCTTCAGCTTGAGAATACCTGCTCTCAACCCATTTGTGGGGCACAATGAAAACCTCAACCTTCCAGCAAACACATGGCATGCTGGTTCGGTGCCAGGCCCAGTGGGCGTGGAGATGAATGAGACCTGTTGCCTGCTTTTGCCTGGATTCCCTGGAACCAGCATGGGACACAGCCTGATAAACAAACGGGGACAAATGAGGTGCTATGATATAGTAACCGGCTATTTTTTGGTGCTGCTAAAAATAGGCCTGTATACTAGCTGGCTTGCTGGCTACACATGACATTCGGAGATGCTGCCCTTTGTGCCCTTTGAGTTAAGGACAGACCTTAATGAGCCTGCTCTGGTAAAACACCATCTGCAGGTGCCCCAGGGGAGGTGAGAAGAGCCCTGATCAGAGAGGAAGTGGGGCTGGAGTCACCTCCATCCCACTGTCCCCCCCACCTCCCCCATCATTCTATCTTGAAAAGCTCACTGTCTCTTATCATTAAATTCTGATGGGG